CTACTGCTGCTGCTGCTGCTGCTGCTGCTGCTGCTGCTGCTGCTGCTGCTGCTGCTGCTGCTGCTGCTGCTGGTGCTGCTGCTGCTACAACTGTGCCTGCCGCTGCTAAATGCTACTAATATACTATTACTATTATTTCTATTCCCGCTAATCAATGAAAGTTGGGAACGTGTTACGGCAATGAATTGTTTAATCCATTTTTGCATTTGTCTATCTATCTATCCATCCATCTGTTTATCATCTACCAATTTACTTAACCATCTATCCATCGGTCTATTTATTTGCTATCTTATCATGTGTCTTCCCATCTAGCAAGCAATCTATCCATGCATCACCCATCTTTATCCTGCTAGCTCCCGTCTATCTATCTATCTATGTATTGATCTATCTATCTGTCGTTTCCCTCTATCCTTTTTATGTTCCTGCTTATGTGTCCCAACCTATTTAACTATCTATTTATCTTTGATAGCTTTCTATTTACCTGTGTATCTTGTTATCTATCTATGCCCACTAGCTAGCTTGCTAGCTATCTGCCTACCTATGTACTTCTTTTATGTATCTATCTGTTGAAAGTGTTGCGCCTGCCTGGAAATCCGTACTTGACCATGCGAATGCCACCAAATCCGTGTCCAACCTTGCGGAAGCGCAATGCCTGCCGAGAAATCTGCGCCTGACCTTGCAAAAGTGCTGCGCCTGCCACAAAATATGCACCTGACCTTGCGAAAGCGTTGCACTTGCCGGCAAGAGTGCTGCGGTTGCCACCCCACCCGACCTGACGAAAGCGCTGCGCATGCCTCGAAATCTTTACCTGATCTTCTTGCGAACGTGTGGCACGAAATCTGCATTCGCCAGTTTGCACGCAGGTGCCAATGGGATTTGCGACATGTCCGTGCCGGCATTGAGAGCTGCGCCTGTCACAAAATCTGCGCCTGAGTTTGCAGAAGTGCTGGCACGAAATCTACAAGTCAGGCTGCCAAAGTGCAGCGCCAGCAGCGCAATCTGATCACCAATCCAGCAAAGTACCGCGCGTGCCATGCAATCTGCACCTCAGTTTGCTAAAGTGCTACGCTTGTCACGCAAAACTGCCGTCGTGAGAAGCGCGCACGTTTGTGCCAATGGCCCGGATCCAACCCTGTTCTGCGCCCGTTCCCTGACGCGTCGCGCCCAAGGTAGCTTACAGGCAGGAAGCGCTAACGCCTACTACTGCTGCTATGACTACTACTAAGACATTTATTGCTGTACTACTCTACGCTGCTGCTACTACTGCTGCCGACAGCAACTACTACTACAACGACAACTACTACTACCTGCTACTTACTGAGACTTTTCGTACTACTCGTACTGCTCGTCGTACTTCGACTACTACTACTACTACCACTACTACTACGACTACTTCTACTATTGCTACTACTTTTTCTTCTATGACGATGACGGCCACTGCTATTATGACGGGCGCTACTAGCACAAACACCGCAACTCTCCAGACTAGAGTGCGCTGTGTTTGCGATCTTGATTTATGTGTTTGATGCTTTGGCCTCCTTTTCTTTAATTGAACTGGTTCTGCTTTTGCATCTGCAGCTACTTCTTTTTTGATTTCAATCTTTTTGTTTTCTTTGTCAGTGTTTCTGGGTTTGTTTCCGTTGGTGTGTTTGTATTGTTGTCTTTTGGTTTCTTTCTTCACTTTTCTATTTGATGTTTAGTTGTTTTTTTGTTTTCACGTGTTGCATGTGCTATTCATTTCAATTGGTGCTTTATTTGTGGTATGCTTGGTTTTGTGCTCTTTGTTTCCTTTTTTCCTGCTGAACTGTTTTCATTGTTTTGATGCCATGGTCGAAAACTCAGATTTCAAGTGGCCATTTCTCCAGAGCCTTTTTTTGGTGTGCCTGTCGTTGCTACATCTCTAGTGGTTGGTAGCGTGCGCGCTGCCACATATGCTTTCGAAGAATTCCTGTTGGAACGCCAACGGCGGCTGGGATGGCCCCTTTGTTCCGGAATCGGAATTTCTGCGCCCGGCCTCCGTCGTAAAGCCGGATGGAGGCCGTGCAAGGCGAGCAGCCCAAGCATCACACGTGTCGCCACTGCGGAAATGTATGCCCGAAGAACGCTGAATGCGATTGTCCCCCCTGCTATATCCAGCCCCGATTTCATTTTCATAAGGTTGGTCGAAATTGTTCCTGTTCACGTGAGCCTTTGGTAAGCAAAGTTCCGTGGAATGGCGGCAAAGCAGGATGCAAGCTTACTTCGACGTGACAGTTTCGAGGAATCGCGCGCTACAAACGGCTACCGCCCAAGTCTTGCCCGAGCTTCCGAGTCCTGCAAGCAATGATTTGTTGTGCATGTTTGTGTTCCTAGTTACGTTGCTGTCCAGGCACATGTTGTTGTTCCGCGGGCTTCGTCTCTGACATTGACGATTGACCCCATGACACCCATGCTGGACCTTGCTTTGCATCAGTGCCTTCGGGCATCAATTCCTCTACCGACTGATGTTGGTTCTTGGACCCCTTCTGTGAAGTAAGCAGGACGGTTAGCGTGAAAGGGCCGCTTGCGGGGTCTGACTTACTTTGGGTGCGTTGCATCATGTCATGCCAAAGGCATGGAGCAGAAAGAGCAAACGAAGAAAAAAGGCATCGACTGCATCACAAGCACCAGCGTCAGCTTGACCTACGTACGGCTGTGATGACAGAGGTAATTGATTAAGCGGACAGGGCTACAACACCAACAAGCGCCGCAAGGGATGTCAAGCGCTTCTCGATTTGTGGGACGATTGGAAGCCTCCATGATGCTCTTCGAAAATGATTGGTGGTAGGCTTTATCAATACTGCGGTCTGCCGATTTGAGAGAGGAGGTTGTTGAAGTTGCGCCTGCTGGAACTTGGCTCTTGGTGAGTTGCATGGGATCGGGTTCGTGAAATCTTTGCGCGCGGGTGCATGTTCATCCAGTTGTCCACGTTTGTCATCGTGCAGCCATCCGCCCCCGAATAACTTGTTTGTGGAAGCGACACCTGGTCCAGATGCAGCTGCCACAGCCCAACACACCAGAGCTTCACTTGGCAAAGGTGCCAAGCGCACTTACACGTGATGTGAGCTGTTGACAGCAATGGCAGAAGCAATGGCAGAAGCAGGCAAGACCGGTAAGTGGAAGGGCGTTTGTCACAAGGGCGGTCTTGCAGGCTTAACCAAACAGCCATAGCGTTCGGAAACGAAATCCAAGGCCTCCCCAGGAGAGTCAGCTCACAAGGGCCTCATTTGAGCAACTCGCGCACTAATGAGGCTTATTTGTTGCAGAGCCCGCGGCGCCCTGTGGACAAGGTTGCGGCACAGGCTTCTGGAAGGCGTTCACCACACAGTGCCAGGCGAAGATGAGAAAGTTCCACGGGAGCGCGAGGCAGGGGCTCGGCTCGCTTGCTTCCTTAAGCTTGGAGCCGATTCCAAGCTTGCCATGTCAACTCCCAAGGGAGACAATAGCACGACATAGGATGTAAGTCACTATATATTCATATGTTATGTTTATCCGTATGATGTGCAGCCCGCATGGGTCGCGAAAGTGCTCCGCTAGGCTTGGCGGCGGCTCTTGGCTCGCGTGGCACAGATGCGGTGGTCTCAGCACAGCAGGCCTCAAAGGTGTGGCTGGTTGGCTGATTGAACACCAGAAGCAAGTGGGCAAACAGCAAGCAGAACAAAAGGACTTGCCCCTTCCTCGAGCCGCAAAGTTCGAGGGTGCCAGCTGTAAACCCAACTTCAGAAGGCGAATGGCCTCAAATGCTGGGCATCATTTGTGCGTTTGAAAGAGAAACTTGAGGTGAAAATAATCTGGCCACCTCTTGCGAGCTGCAGACAAGCCAACCTGTGTTTGCGGGCAGGATGCGGGACGGTGGCAAATGTTCCGTAGTTAAATGCAGGCCATGTGTATGACCGGTCTCGAGCCCTCTGCCTTGTGCAGCTGAGGCGCGGCAACCCGAAAGTACGGACACTGCTGGAGGCGGGCCTGCAAGCAGTCCAACTTGAGACTCACACCGAAAGCTGAGCCATGCTCAGTTCTATAAACGACCTGCTCGGGCTTAAGAAGCAGCGGAAGCTTTGCTCCCGACCCCGTCCCGGTTTGGAATAGCAATGAGTACCACGTGGAACCTCTCTTTTTCAAATAGTTTGCTTCGGGGGAAAGGCAAGACCCGGTGCCTTATGTAGCCCCAATCACCGTGAAAGCTCGGTGTTTGCTTCTCGCCTTTCGGAGCGCAGCTTAAAGTCCCATGGCCAAGACATATTGGCAAACACCTATGGTAGGCCCTTGAGAATTATAGACACCTACCGTGGGCCTGCAGGCCAAAGTGGCTTGGGCGGCCTAATGTGTAGCAGCCGAAGAGGGGCCGCAGGGCCGACAGGCATTTTGCAGCTCAAACCTAAGCTACGGTCGGCCAACTTTGCCTAAGACGGTCAGTTCGATGTTCATGACAAAACCTTTAAGTGCCCTTCTTAGATGTTACAGCATTTGCAGTGAGAAGCCAATTTGCTGAAAGATGTCTGGTCAACCACTTCCAGAACTGTGAGCATTTCAAATCTAAGTGCGTCAGGAGAAGCACGCGGAACTGCTCTGAGCTTAGTGCCCAAGGCAAGAATTTGCTGTTTGCAGGACATGGAAACGGTCTCTCGTTTTACGGTCTTTGAGGATTGGAGGCTTAGAATTTGCATGCGCAGCCATTGCCATGACCTCGAAGAAGCATTATGATGCATCGATGGTTTGATCAATGAAGCATGGTGAGAATGTACTTTCTAAGGGCGCATTCAGTCGCGCCAAAGCGGAAACTTGCCCCAAACGTGAAGACTTGAGGTTGTCGCTTGCTGGCAGGACAGTGGAATTGCCAATGGCACTGTTCGTGCGATACACAGGCAAGACCTGCAACCCAACCTCGCGCCAGCAAGAAGCTCAATTGTACACCACTTGCCGCCTGTGGCACTTTCACTTGGGCCCTCGATGCCATGGCGAAAGCTCCTTTGCCTGGTGGCATGGGCGGGGGCAGAGGTGCCTTGCAAGGGGAGAGTTGGACATGGGCCGCTTTGGCAAGATCTGCGCGGCAATTTGCCGGGCACTGAGCTGTGTCTGGGGGAGCAAGGAGGGGTGCAAGACAGGCAAGACAAGCCTGGCAAGATTTGGCGTGCCAGACAAGAGAGCCATTGGGACGGGGGAGCTTGCAAAGCAACATCCTTTGGTCAACTTGAACATGCTCTTCTGGCTTAGGTCATTCTACACAGCGATGAATTTGGCTTCCAGTCACCTGGCGGGTTAAATCGTATTCATTGGCCGGTGAACCGCCAGAAAAATGCGCACAGTGGGCCAAGGAGAGATTACGCTGGATGTGCAGTCCCCTGTGTACTGGCAGATGCGGGAGATTTGGAGGCACATGTTTGCTGCTCCCAGTGGCAGGTGTAGCACTTTGGGCACTTGAAGTCAAACACGTTTCCAAGGAACCAGCCCCAAGGAACATGTCACGGGCACGTTGGCCTTTGCAGATGCTTGAAGTTTGGATGATAAAAAGTGTTTTGGCAATCCGGTCTGACATTGAATCTACACTGCAAGCACTTCCTCGCTCCACCCAACAGCTCTGACAAAGTTGCTGTTGATGATTGGCCAGGCAAATCGACACCAATGCCACCCTCTCAGCCAAAGCATCGCATCACAGCTGGTTTCATTTCGGCTCGGGATGGCAGTAAGGAGCGATGTCCAGTGCTAGCACAGACAGCTTGCATTTGCTTTCTTTGGAATTGGTGTGTCGCTTTCGCCTGCCGTTAGGCAGACTAGGGTGGCGCCATGCAGCAGATTGCAATACATGCAAAGGGTGTTCCATTTTTGGTAGGGGCCACGCCCTGTGCGACCTCCCGAGCACACTCAGGAGGCTTGCTTTCCGCAGGTTGGTTTCGGTGTGTTCACCCGAGGAGAGACTGCGCAGTGGGCTATGTCACCTTGAAATTGATTGGGTTCATGTCGCTGAAAGAGCCTTGGCTTTCTTAACGCAGACAGGTTGATGCATGGTTGATGTTTGAGACTGGTTTACAAAGAGGGGGCGACACTTTGGCCTGATCATGCCTGATCATTTGTTCCATGGCAGCGCTTACGTCAAATGGACCTGCGCCGGCAGAGCTCCGCATGAGAACATGTGACCGCTTTGGTCACGGGCCGCGACCCTGCACTTTGCTCGAGCGCGCAAGGTTACAGATCTTCTGGCAGAACTTCTGAAGCCCGAAGGCCTGGCAATTGCGAATTTGGTTCATCTGAAACAAGCGACAACGGGCCTCTCTCTCCCTCTCTCTGTGCCGAAACTGTTGAGCCCTTCGAGGATCATGTTCAATGGAAGCCAGCATGGTATGCTTTGAGAATCAGGCGTTATGATCCACGAGGCCCTGCGGTTCCTGGCCTCCACTTTGGACTGGCACCAGGTGGCGGAGACTGGCTGGCCACTATTTCGCCTGCTTGCAAGGCTTGAGCAACTTGGAGAATGGGCCGGTCACTTTTTTCGGAGCGGAATCAAACGAAATCCCAAAATAACCCACCCACCGGAGAGGTTGCTTCGTTTAGAGACACTCAATGGACTTTGCAAGTTTGTAGCCAAGTCGCAAGTGGGGCATTGCCTTGCGATGGGTTGACGCCAGGTTCCCGCTCCGCAGGTGGAATTGGTACCACCGTCCACCGTCCATGAAGATCAACATATATTAGCATGGAATCGGGTACAGGGATTGTCCAGAAAGGCATTCCTTAAAAAACTCGGGCCGGGGGGGTTCAGATTCCATTCAAATGTTTGGAATGATTGTGTTTGTCTCCAGAACCCCAAAATCCAAAGTGGCTGATTTCCGTGTCATTCCCTCAAAAGCAAGCACAAAAGGGCCTGTGCGAAAACAGCAGTGACACTACTGACTAGCGAAACTTGCGCCTAGGTACTTTGCTTTTGCGGAGATGGGTGCCGCCAACCCGCTAAACGAGAAGCTGGAGTCGGCGTGGTCTTATGAATCTCGACGGAACATGGGCGCTTATGTTCTTTGTTTGGGCCATGCCCAGCAGCACTTGCTTTCAAATTGAAAGCGAGTTTTTGTTCGTCCAGTAAAGATCCAAGGTGCGTTGCATAGGACTTGGGCTCTGTAATTTCCTCCTTGCTGATGTTGAACAGCTGTTGCAAGACCAACTTAAGTGCGTTCCCCTTTGCCGTGATGTGGAATCGAGACGTATAGAAACCCATGTTTGCTGGGCGTTGTTCGTTGAGTGATTGTTTGCAGGGAGAATGCAAGGAGCCCGGTCTCCCTTCTCCCCTACGGAAACTCAAAATTTGTACATAATGGGCAGGGGACCTGATGCTTTCTGTGGAGAGGACAAGGAGGAGGATTCCCTGGCTTCCCCCACCGGCGGCTGCCCAACTGGTTCTGTCGAACAACGTGTTTTATTTCTTCTCGGGGGAGGGGGTCGTCGGAAGGTATACGCGTGGTTGCCACTTCTGTTCTTCCGGTCTGTTTCAGGGCCCTACCCCATACGGGTGCATGTGTGAGTGTGCTTTTCATGATGCTCTGTTCACATCAGAAGGCAGAAACCAAAAGGCAAATCTAATTTGGGGGCTCCTCCTACTGAGTACTACTGTACTTTGACATCTACGTGTACCTGTACCGCTGTACCGCCCCTTGCCGAAATCCGCAGTTCAGGAGGTGCCGTTCCTGGAGACAGTGGAGCGGAGCCTGGAGGAAGGTGTCGCCGTGCCTGCGGCGGCAGCTTGGATTCAGAGAGGCTTGCGCAGGCAGTTGCGGGATTCACCTGGGGCAGTAGCCCACTGATGACTGGTTGGGGCCTCTTGCATTTGCCGAAAAAGTCTAAGTCTCTGGAATCTTGTTTGAAGCAAAATCCACATGACATAAGGGGAAAGGTCCACTCCATTTGGGAATACCAAATTCAGAGATTGGAGCCATTGGGCTTGGGATTTGCAATCCAATTGTGAGATTTGACGAGAGAATCCTATGTTTAGGACTTAGAATCCCATCTTGAGGCTACCAGACCAGAACAATGTGAGGCTTCACTTGTCGCAAACCGAGGCTCGACCCCACCTTTGAAGGTGATCCAAATGGGTTCCAACAGAAGCCCCACGCAACACGAGCATGCTTGGAGTCTTGGAGCGGTCCCAGGCCAGCAGCCTGCTTCTGTCTTACCACGAGTTCTACTCGCCCCTGGCCCGTGGTCTGGCATTGCTGTCTCTGGCCGAGACGCTGCGCCCACCCCGGCTGGCGCTGGCCGAGGTGGGCGAGCGCGCTCCTTGAAACAAATGGAACGAGTTGTATGATGGTGGCTTTGAGGCACGTTTGGCTCAAGGAATTGTGACCCTCATAGCCCACCGATCCAACGCAAGCTCGAAGGTGGCATTATGTTCCCCGAGCATCAGAGCCCACCAAGGTTGGCTGGACGTGTTTGCAAGTGCATCTTCTTTGCTGCTTGCCGAACGTGCTCACAGAAACCTTGCCTGCTACTTCAGTCCACAAGGTGATGTCTGAACCGACTACAAGGGATTCATGTCTAAGAACCATCTTCCGCATGCATGTGACTTGAAATTCAAACCTTTGAAAATGTAGGAACCCATTGATCCGTGCAAAAGCAAAGCCACTTTGGAGAAATCAGACAACCTGTGGCTTGCGCTCGTGTGGCCCTAAGGAACGATTGATCCGACGCGGCGTGTATTTGCTTGGCGCACCTTGGGCAAAGAATACTGTACCAAGAATTGCCAAGATGCGGCAAGCTTTTTCGGTGCCAGGAGGTGCAGTAGACAAAGACAAGCGCCCAACATGGCCATGGGCCTCCTTCTGACCTCCGCTCATTTTGGCGCTGAGCATGGGAATGCCAAGCCATGTTTGGCAATGTCCAAGCCGAAAGCGAAACGACCATGTGGAGTATGGATTCCTACAGCCCAAGGACAACTTCCTCAGTTCCAAGTACCCGCCCTTCGTGGCGCTCTCTGCGCGGTGGCCAGTCTTTCAGCTGGCGGACCGCTTGGCCTGCCAGGCACGGGGGTGCGGGGGCAGTGTGGGGGATGCCGCGGCGGCTGCGCTTGGGATGCTTGGGGCCAATGCAAAGTCACACGTGTGTGGAAGGCCCACCGCCTCCAGCCCACAAGTTGACAAGACCTGGAGCCTCAGCACCAATTTCTGTTGCAGACTTACGGCAGGTGTGCGGCCAATGCTATGATTCAAGGCCCCGTTTCTGTTTCACAAGAAGCCCGGAGGCGAAAAGGCCAAGATGGCAACGGTAACCCAAGCCACCTGGCAGCGCGTACATCTGCCGAGCGCTAGGGCGAGGTGCGCTGGCAGCTGCCGGCCCATGGGGTGAAGCCGAAGCTCCGCGTGGCCGTGCTGCCCGTGCCGGAGAAGGTGGGCACCGTGACGGTATCGTGACGGTATCAGTCAATGTCGATGAGTGGAACTTGGTTTAGGTTCCAGTGACTAAAATGGGCTGAGCATGTTTGGTTGCTTAGGTTCAATTGATTTACTGGACTTGGATGGCTTCTCAGTCGTCAGGCAACTGGTGGGTTGCAACAACAATCCAGACAGATCTCTTGAGTAGAGAAGAATCAGTGCTGAATAGAGGGTCATCCAAATCCCGCTTTGCAAACCACACAACTCGTCAAGGCTATGCACTATGGTGCAGGAACTTTAATAAGCTGCCGCAAGATGGAGGCAGCATGTGTATTTTGGGGGATGTTTGAGTTGTTGCCAAAAAGACGTGAGCATTGTGTTAAACAAAGGCGTTGACAGATTCTTCGCTCCTTTGCAACTTGGGCAGGTCTCTGACGTGGTGCGTGCCTGCCGTCTTCCGTACTGCGACTTGTCCCGAGCAAATATTTGCCAGCTTCGGCTTTATTTATCTTTCTTTGCTACTTGCGGACGTGCATTGATATTGAGCACGTTGTGTTGAATAAATGCGGTACTGTCCCTCACTCTTGGTCCCACAGGCACAGATTGATGGATGTTGTTGAGCCATGATACCTTCAGAAGCGTGTTGCACATCAGAGTGAGCAGTAGATCCTCTGCAGATGTGGTGCAGCAGCGGAGGGAAGCTACTCTTGCAAAAGCCCTTTGGGTCAGCGTGAGTCTTTCACAGGCTAGTCCGATTCCTACCGAGCCAGCGATGAACCTCCGAAATAAGTAGCTCAATTCCCAAGAAAAGTCAATACGCAGTGCAAAGACAAATTTTCAAGGGATGCTTACCTTGCCCCCTTCCTTTGAGAGTCCAACAGGAAGTAGCAAACCGGAAGGAGATCAAGTCGACACATTTAGTTGGGCACTTGAGGCGACCTCAGCTTCATGGAGCTGATGTTGAGGGCTGCCGCCGGCTCTGTCAGCTGTCTGCAGCTGTGATTTCAGAAGCAGCTTGAGCAAGCCATCAGCTTCTTCTTGTCTATCCATCGCTTTCTGCCTTCTATCCAACCATTTTCTGAAAAAGGATTCCCCTCTGAAGCCTTTTCGCGCTTAGGGGGCGGTGCATTTGGTGGAGATGGGCGCCAACCTGGGGGACTGCAGCCTGTGGGCAGCGGCCCACCTGGGGAGGCAACGAGCACCGGGACCACGGCTTCGATGAAACGGGATCCAGCTTGCACCAACAAACACATACGAGCATCCTAGAATACTTATGTTACTTGTGTTAGAACCCATTTAGCGCCACAACATACCATGAGAAAACGCCGGAGAAGCCGGAAAGACAGCTGTACACTGTTACTTTGAGAAGCACAACGAAGGTCTCTCACTTTGGGCTTCCTTTTGCTCAGGTTGGTGATTTTTCTGTAAAATGTGTCAGCAGGACGCTGGATTGAGATGGTGCAGATTTCTTCGGTTCAAGTTCAGCCTGGCCATTTGAGGAGCAGACCAATCGTAAACTGGAAGCAAACATATCAACTGACAAAGGGAAGATACGTGCAGTGCATCCAGTACAAAAGCAATGACCAGGCACTGGAGGGTTTTGTGAGGGTCTCTCGCCGGAGGCGCCTGCGCAGCGTGGTGGCCGTGGAGCCGGTGCCCAACGTGGCCGCAGCGCTGCGGCGCTCCGTGCAGCTGAACCGATGGGATGAGAAGATCCAGGCGATCCCATCGGTGATGGCGCACGGGGAACGCGATAGCAGCTGATGATGTGGCTGGTCAAAACCCTGTACCCCTGGTGAACATCAAAATAGGTGGCAAATGGGTGTTCATCCACCCCAAAATGGAGGCATAGGTTATGACCCATGGCCAATGTGTTTAGTAGATCAACATGTAGGTTCGGGGAAGACATGGGGCAATCCAGATTCCGCAACACCCAGGACATTCTGCCGTCTACAGTGTTTACAGTAGCGAAGCGGATGCCAGTGCGCACACTCACTCATTCAAATACCGTCAGGACAATGTGCCAGGCCGTGGTCGATCCCCAAAACAAGCATGTTTTTGCACTGATTACAGCTTAGTGCCTCATGTTCAGGGCAAATACAATATAGGGTCTTATATGTGTCACCGGCGGACCGTTTGATACCTCAGTGGAGGATTGTTTGTTCAGGATTTAGCAGCATCCAAATATGATGCAATACGCACATGCCTGTGTAACGCAGGCACCCCCTTGTCGGAGGTTTGAACCCTTGATTGATAATCCTTGATGAACTAATCAGAACTGTGCCTGCTTGGTAGAGATGGAAAGTCGCGCTATCTATTGCTGCGTTGTATGTGCCTCTTCTTCTGGATCCTGGATGGTGCTTAAGAGGAACCATGGAGAAGCAAAGCTGAAAGCAAGCACTTGTAGGACCCTTGACCAGGAACCACCCAGATCTGACAACATTATGTATGTATAGTAGGTTAATGCCTTTTGGCGGGGGTTGGAGGACGTTGACATGAGGAATACATGCTGATTCCACGTGTAAGGGAGCAAACCTCGAGCCAGGCAGCAGGCAACTTTGCAGGCCCAACTGTGGCCAACAAAACTTTGGGGAACCAGGCTTGTGTTGATTTTGATGCCTGGGGTCGAAATTTGGGGGGTTGGAGGACACGTTGACATGCGAAATGCATGCTGATTCCACGTGTAAGGGAGCAAACCTCGAGCCAGGCAGCAGGCAACTTTGCAGGCCCAACTGTGGCCAACAAAGTTGATTTTGACGCCTTGAATTGAACAATTTGGAGGGTCGCCTCTGACATTCACTGTTCCCTTGTCCCTTTAGTGGGAAGACTAGATGAATTGGGGAGCACACCAGGTGGTGCAAGCGCTTGCCGCCGCCCAAAGTGGATGGGGCAAGATGCACTTCCTGGGGCATGCGGATGGCAACCCCTACGCCAGTGCATCCGTGGGGATGCCAAGTTCGCGACCGAGTTGTAACTGTATGCGACAATTCCCCTGACACAGTGCATTCCCCCCCAGGTTGGAACTTGCATTGCATCGCGGCTTTGGCAGCCCGCGTGTTCACTGGGCATTGCTCTTGGGAGCACCTCGTTGGACAAAGCAAGCTCCGATCCAGGAGAAGTCAAGTTGCGAATGTTTGGTTGGTTTTGTGGCCGTGTGTGTGTGTGATTGCAGGTTGTTCACGGCTGAGAATCAGGCAGAGCTTGGTGCTACCTTGATGTAGCCTTCGCCAAGTTGCTCCTTAAGTGCTGTGACGCCCCCTCCCGCGCTCCCCCCCTCCCCCACTGAAGCAAGTATTTTCAGGAAGCCGTCCATGCCCAGCAGGTCACCGCGTCACCTGGTCACTTTGCCGAGGCTGTGGCGCCAGAGTCTTTTGCAGCGCCCTCGGTGCCCGCGCGGCGCACCACGCTGGCGTGGCTGCTGCGGCACATGCCACGGGGACGCGGCGCGGCGCGGGTGCTGAAGATCTACACCTATGGGGACCTGCGGGCGGGTGGGGCGTGAGGGGGCGTGACCAAAATCGAAGGTGGAGGGTTTGACTGCACACCTTGGCAGACCCGCAGCGAACAGGTAGCAGGAATTGTCGGCGCTCGTTGTGGTATTACGCATGCTCATTGCTCCCATGGTTTGATGCTGGTATTCCGCTAATGCGAGCCAGCTCCCTCAGGCGGTCCTGGCAGGCGCTGGCGCAGCGCTTGCCAGGGTGGATGCCTTGTGGCTTGGCACTTGTCAGTCACTGGTGTGCCTGTCTTCGGGAGTGCTGAGACCGTGAACTTGAACAGAGGTTTCCGATTGAGAAGCCACTGGGCGTTGGCCGTTTGGGAGGCTCATGCCACGGCACTTGTGAAATCTTGATGAATTGCATGACGCAGATCACGGGATATGTGGAGATGCGTAATTGCATCGACTTGCAAGACACTGCGAAGCGTCGCTGTTCCTGCAGACAACCGAGACAGTTCTGTAATAACTTCCCCTAGTAACAAACAGCCCCCCCCCCGCACTTCAGATATTCCGGAGGATCAGCCGGTCCTTCGGCAGGTTCTCTCCCTGTCACCGTCTGACCAATCGGACAGCAAGAGGAATCCTTCTTTCCCAAGGCTGGATGAAGGGGGTGGTATGAACTAATCCTGCATTTCTTGCGCTGCATGGGAAGAGTTCATCATCCCAAGCAGCGGGCAAACTGTGTGGCATCATTTGTCGGGGCCCTGTTGCGGTCCAGTCAGCTGAGAAAGCTTAGAGTTCTGCTTCTCGGCTGGCCAGCTTGGCGTTAGGATTCTCAGGAGTCATGGGAATAGCATGAGGATCCAAGAGCAGCGGATCTGCGAGGCCCATGACAAACCTGTGGCTCAGGTGGCTGGCCTTTGCAGCCGGGCAGCTGCGGCGCCCGGGTGCCGCTGCGGTGCCCCGGGGGGCTGGAGCGGTAGTGGGGCGGGGGAGGCGTGTGTGATGCGGACGCCTTTCGTTGTGGGTTTAGAGCTGTGAATTCTGATATGGAGGTGTGCCATTTTGAGGGTACCCTTGCTTGCTTTGGTGCATTTTGCTTGGATGTTTGGACTTTAACTTTTTGCCAACTGATGGATTTACCGTTAAAGCACCAAAAGTTAAACTTTTAGCAGGGGAGCAGAAAGCAACCGAGCTTTCTGGCTGGGTTCAGAGGAAAACCAAAGGCAAACTACATGCTTAGGGGGTTCCCTCATGGGAAACAAGCTCAATATTGTAGTAATATGCCCGCTGTGTTGGAGTCATGATGTTCTTCGTGGAAGCCAGCCCGGGCAGTCTCTGGACAGAACCACATGCAGCACAGGAACAAGTCCTATATGTCATTGTCATCCTTTCTTTGTATATTCATTCACAGATGCATGTAGATATATATATATATATGTGTTTATGTGCGTTGATCTCTTTGGCATGTTCAGCCTCATGTGCGGCAAGCACCGGCTGTCGCACGGAGCTTTTTCAGGCCTGACTTCCATTCCTGCCCTAAACCACGTGAAGAGGGCAACATGAGCGGCAAACAAGCCCGCCAAAACAAAACCTTACTGGAGTGTCCTTCCAAACGATTGGCAAAGGGATTGCTGGCCCTTTTAGCACGTGACCATTTAGCGCATGCGGCCCGAGCGAGCGACACTCAACAGCCCTTGTGAAGGCATATTTATGAGTAGAATCTGTCTTCAACCACGGCTAGCCCATGGGAATATGTTGCTTCTCTCTGACAATTGATTCAGCAGGATGGCCCCTGTCTCGCCAAGGGTGAAAGATGAAACACCATGTGTACGTGTGCACATGAACAGTTATTTGTTTACTTTTTTGGTTAGCATACATATGCACTTGATTGCACATGTGTGTGTGTGTTTGTGTTGTACATGTCTTTGGCATTTGGATGTTTACGCAGGTAGACATGGGCGTTTGTATCACCCGAGGTGCTGCTATTCGCCCTGCTTCGGCGCCGCTTCCGGGTGGCCCTGCCCAGCTTTGAGGCAGTTCAGCTCGGGATGGGATTTAATTTGCATGTGTCACCTGTCCGTGGCCATGGTTCCAATATATTGCATGTATATTAACTTGTGTATTTCTATAGGTATGTATACATATATGTGTGCAGGTTTATTGGCTGCGTATATATCTATACAGCTACATTGCGCCTGTGCAAAAAGGAGTCCTGCTCTCCTGGGGCCTTGGATTTGTCCAAGCAAGGCCTCACGAATCTCAACCTCCGTCTTACAAATGGCAGCTCTGAGGCGGACTGGTGCCGCGGCGCTGCCTCCAAGACCAGCGGCTCCGCAGAGCGGAGGCGAGGCCGAGCGAAATTCGGCGTGCATCCCCTCCCTTTTATGGGAGAGAGGAGTGCCCGCCGATTAGCTTCCATGTTTGCAGGTGGGAGGGTCCATGTTATAGTAGTTACAGGAAACTCCCATGCCCTTTTTTGGGGTTGGAGGTTGGAGGGCAGGGAAATCTATGGCTCGGACAGACTCGAGAAAGGAGCACCGCCCCAAACACGGATTCGGCTCGGCGTGTTGGCATGTTTTTCTTTTAGCCAAGTCAGAAGTCTACCCCAACCAGCAGCCATATGGTCAATGAAACGGAGCCAAGGAGGCTGTGATGTGCGCCTTGTCTTTCCGGAAGTGGGACAGCCTTTCCCGGCTCAGGATGTTCCGCTGGCTGAGGCAAACAGGAAAGAACAGTGCCTCGGACGGCACTGAATGCAGTTTGAGAGCCCTTTGAGCACTTCCAGTGCCAGACTGTATGCCGCTACATGCCATCCTGCGGCAAGTCAAGTCATTCACCGTGCTGTAGTGGAGCAGTTGCCAAATCCAAACAGGCCTAGATTTTTCAGCTGCTGGGCATCAAGGTGCCTATTCCATGGTCTACGTCGTCGCTTTCCGGCCTGGGTCGTTGGTTTGCCGGCCTTGGTCAGCCAGACCGTCCCCAGGTCACATGAAGGCGCCGAGCGCCAAAGTTTGAAGTGCACAGCCACATGTTGCCATCAAGGATGCCTCTGTTGGTTAGAGGTGCGGGAATGCGCCTTGGTTTGCATGCAAACAGGGCTTTGCAGAGATACTGCTTCAAGCATCGATTTCCAGGATTGCCCATTTCAGGATGTGTTTCCCTTTTTCCTCTCATGCAGGTATTGTGGAAAATCGAATTGGTCAGCTGACCAGCCCTCCATTTGGAACAACCCTGGGTGTCATCCACCTTTCTGGGATCAAATTTGACGTGATTTACATCTCGGACTCATATCTCTCTTTTTTGGTTGGGGCCAAAAGCTCCGGCGCGTTTGGCCACGCAAAATCATTTGTTTGAGAGTAAGCACAAGATTCCTTTTGGCAAGCTGCCTCGTTTTGGTCAGGCTGCGATGCGAAGCTGGGACAAGACTGGGGCAGCCCGGGGCTGCTTCTTCGGAGCCCAAGCCGCGTTCAGCTTTCTGTTCGGAAGGGAGCACCTCCAGGTTGGTTTTTCCAGCTCGCCCTCTTTGAAGTGGTTTTGAGCTTCGTTTGATTCTTGTGGTTCAATGCTTTTGGTTAGTTCCGCAATTTTCAGGAGCCTTGTTGGGGGGAGGCTGTCCGGAGGCAGTCGGGAGCGGGTGGCACGAGCTACATGCTTGCAAGGACGGTCACGCAGGCAGCTACTGATGGCCAGGGGCTCAGCAGCCTTGCAAGCTCACGTCCAAACGTCTTGCATCAATGTCAACAAGGACTTCTGTAGATAATGCTTGATCTATGCCTGTTTACAG